ACAATCATTTGACTCTGCTGCCCTTAGGATGTAAAATACCTTACTATGAAATGTGAATTTAAAAGACCCATCTATTTTTAGCAATTTGTGAAGTTCAGCTTATTCTGTGTATTTTTTTTTCCACTTCTCTACAGGGTGATGCAGGTAGCAAAGGAGCTGATGGTAAGCCGGTAAGTTCAGAGTCACTTCTCTGAAATAGAGAGTCTCACTTCACATCCAGATTCAGCAGTGTTGTGAAATGAAATGCGTCTATATGACAGGGAAAACCTGGACCAAGGGCACCCAGTGGCAAGGATGGACAGAAAGGCGAGAAGGTAGGAGAATAGAGTTCACAGACAACCTGTAACTGTGGAGTCTGAGGTTGGATTCATTCTTTAAACCTTTCCGTATTTTGGCCTTTTACCTCAGTGTTTTCAAATTAACAGTTCTTTTTATGAACAAGGTTGCTCCAATTTGTATTTTCGTTATGCAGTTTTATATTGCTCAGAGCCCACCTATATCCACATATTTTTTGATAATATAATTTGTTTCTTTATCTTGGACATGTGCAGAAGAGGGATAGTGGTTATATTGGTAGAAGGATGTTGGAGATGGAACTGCCAGGCAAGAGGTCAAGAGGAAGGCCAACGAGGAGATATATGGATGTGCTAAAAGAGGACATGAAGTTAATTGGTGTGAGAGTAGAGGATGCCGAGGATAGAGTTAGGTGGAAACAGATGATTCGCTGTGGTGACTCCTAACAGGAACAGCCGAAAGTAGAAGAAGAATTTGTTTCTTTAACTTATTTAATGTCATGTTAATATTATATTCTTTTTTTTTTAGGGAGAGCAAGGGCAGCCTGGCCTAGGTGTTCCTGGTGCAAAGGGTGAGAAGGTAACTGTAGACATGGATTACTTTTTGAATCCCTCACCTTGATTGTCATGAAAACTAACCTTCCTGCCTCCCTGCCCTTCCTTAGGGCGAGTGTAGTGTATGCCAGTCGCTTGAGGTTGGCAGACCCCCCGTTATCAAAGTGCCTGAGGGAACATTAGGTAAACCAGGTGAACCAGGCCCTCGAGGGCCACCTGGACCACCAGGTCTTGGAGCTGATGGCAAACAGGTGTGGTTCCTCTGTTAAAAAGTAAAAGAAAATAAAAAAAATAGCCATCTCTCTTGAATGTATGCAAAAGTACACAGACAGCTTTTTAGAATTAGAAACTTTAGATTATTTAAATCATTTTAAACATTGTCATCCTTGTCTTGTTTGTAATGAGAGTCAAAATGGAAAGGAAAAATTACTCATGCTATGCTCACACACCCAGCACTGCAAACTACACAGAAAAAGAGACACATAGTATGTCTATCAGGTAAGGGCCCCTAAAGACTTTGTTGACTTTGTTATGTAAAAAAACACAACCAGGTGTACTGACTTATATTTTGTTAGGCTGTCTTATTTATAAAAAATATGAAGTTGCTGGTGTATGGAGGACACACCATATGTATTGCTGGACAAAGCAATACATTTTTTTTTACTTTTTTGTATCACGATATATTGAAATTCGATATATTGCCCCATCCATATTTGTTACTAAGTGTAATAAAACTCTGTTGGCTTTCACCCCTCCCACTTAGATGCTGTGTACCCCTATGTTTAGCTTTATGTCGACAGTCATTTTACCTGAATGGAAAAAGCTCGCACAGTATATGCAAATGACTGCACATGTATTTGAGAGTGTGTGTATGTGTAACTGTATGCATATAACTTGTGTATGTACATATGTATTTCTATATCACCTTTTACTTTCTTACACAGGGCCCACCAGGTCTGGCTGGTCCAAAAGGACAAACGGTGAATTTCTAATAAGTATTCTGCCCTCACTTAAGAATGTTCCGGATATTCCTTCATTAGACTGATAGATCACTCATCCACACACGTACCACTGCAAATGTTTTTTTATTCTTCTCCATTCAGTGTATATGGAGACTGTGCTAGGAATTCACAGTAAAACTACTTGCTGGCACAATTCCTACCACCAACAAGTGGAATAGCAGGAAACCAACAATAGGATTTTATATTGCATCACCTTTGTCCTCCCTAGCACTAATGCCACCTATCCTCCCCCAGCATAACCTTAACGTAAGCATTGCTAAAACTAATTAGAGGAAATCTTCAGGCTTTGTATCACTATATTTCAATTTTATCAGGGTGGACAAGGAGACAAAGGAGACAAGGGACTGGATGGGGCTCCTGGAGTGCCAGGACTGCCTGGCGAGCCTGGTCGGGACGGAGCAATAGGATTGAAGGGCGAGAAGGTATAGAGTGCCTGAACTGTTATGTCAGGTCAACATTACTGCACTCAGTTCTGAATCTGCTAATTGATTTTTAAATTTAATCCTACTGTAAGAGGTAGCTGCCATGTTTGGGTATATATATA